AAATTATGTATAATTTTTCAATTTTATTTTGACTTCATTTTGTGCAAGTTTGTTAGAATTACCATCAGAAATACGGAGATCATTAACAATTAAAGTGCGAAAAAGCAAGATGGCGCTCGAGGTGTGCTGACACGGTAGTTCGGTGAGAGCAGATTTTTGGCAATTCAATGATTTATTAGTTGCATCTTCTTCTGAAATACTTATGAGGCAAGTCTGCAGGTGTTCTGAATATTATTAGTGCAAAATTAAATGTGAGACAGTCTTGGACAGGGAGTTTTTGTGGATTGAAACATTTACGGCTCAGACAATCGTGAGTATTCTTCATTGTTATTGTGAACCGGTTCTCGCTATATATTTCAAAAAATCTATAGTGTAATGCCACCCACAAGACAATCAGGAAAAAGCTAAGAGGATAAAACTGATAACATGGAAAAAGTGCAAGATAACGCAGGTCAACCCCAAGGAATTCAATCAGGTGATGAATGGGTTCTAATTAAAAAAGATCTACAAGAGATTAAAGATCAACTAAAAAGCACAATAAAAACAGACGACATTAAATCGTTAGTCACCAGTATTGTAAAAGAATTGCTCGAAGAGCACAAAAGAGAATCAGAAAAGAAAGAACTCTTTTATAAACAAAAAATAGAAAAACTGAGTGACAGCGTAGACAAACTGACACTTGATAATGAGACGCTCCGAGAAAAACTATGCGAAAACAACAAAAAAACTCGTGAGCTAGAAACCAAAGTCCAACAAGTAGAAGAACTGGCCTCTTTTGCAACAGTTAAGGCAAATTATAACGAACAATATAGCCGTAAAAACAATGTGAAAATATATGGAATCAAAGAAAATAAAAACGAAAATACTTTGCAGGTTGCAAAAGAAATATTGAAAGTAAAGGGAAATGTGGACATCGACGATAATGACATTATTGCTATTCATCGCATACCGGGTAAACAAAAGGCCCCAAGACCTATCCTAATAAAATTTAAAAATGCAGACACAAAAGCGAAAGTTATGCAACAAAGGTCAAAAGTCAAAGAGTCGGAGGGCAATGTGAGGTTAGGAGATGATGTGACAAGGGAAAACAGCGAACTCATCGCCAAACTTATTGAACACCCAGAGATTACATCAGCCTGGTACTTCAATGGTTCTGTGTATGCCAGTGTGGATGGAAAACGTATGAAGTTTGACATTTTAAACGACATTGATTATAAATTGGAAGAACCGGAATTCTCGTGACTAACTGCTATGAACTCCGCATTTATAACGCTCTTCACGATTCCGATTTTGACAGTGAAAGGAAAGAGACATGCCAAATGATGCTACTCAAGCCACTTGACTTTTGAAAGTAAAATTTTATCTGTACACAGTTATTCTATTTCATTTCTCATTCATGTTTGTGTTATTCTCTCCTTACTTTCCGTCTTCTGTCTCTCTTTTTCTCTATCTGATTTGCTGCCTGTTCCTAAAATCCCGTGGGGTCTGTTTATTTATGTCTGTTTTTATACAAATACCCGATGGTTAAAATAATATCAGTCAATTGTCAAGGTCTTGAGTTATTTTTACCAAACACAAAAATATATATCATATAAAAATGATGAAAAAGAGAAATTTGACAATCAGTGGAACAGGTGGAACCAATTATTTTTGTAACTCTCTCTCTCTCTTTCTCCCCCTCTCTCTCTTTTTTCTCTCTCTCTATATATACACACAATTCTGTTAAAGAAAAGATATTGGACACTTTGTATATAGTGAATTGTGTTGAAAAAATAAAATGATTTAAAAAAAAAAACAAATTAAAGTGCGATATAGAAATCTGATAACGACGACAAAATGGATTTTGACGTCAAGGTGGCGCAGCATACCTAAAATTTTGTGTAGCACTATGGAGAACTCTTGTCCAGAATAAATGACCTGCTAAAACAATAAGAATGCGATAATACATGTCCAAGGCTTTGTTTTTTCATTGGTATATATTTTTTCTTAGAAATAATTCAACCAGAGTAAAAAAAAAGCTCCGGATGACCACCAATTATTATGCACCAAATAACGTTGACCCGCGTTGCATAAATCGGTACTGCATGATGCTAAGTCAACTTGTATATGACACTTCATGTATATTTAACATTGGGGTAGCAACAGCACACGTTTCATTATATATATTTTTAAAGAATCGTTTAAGAAAAGAGACAGTTTGATTTTTGGAATGTTATGTGTAATATAAACGCTTTCCGATTGTTTCATATGAGAAAACATCTCCGGCTGTCATGATGTTAAATGCGTGTCTACGAGAAAACCATGCAGAATGCTATGAAAGCAAGTTTTTCAAAATTTCTTGAAACTTTGCATACAAAGTGAGATCAAGGTCACTTACTTACTGCGTAAGTTTGGTGACGTCATTTGATTTGTTACCATGGATACAGGGAGAATTAGTTTATCGTCAGCCTATTTCTATACCCAGTATGGAAAAATAACACCTTTTGTACATATTCTGTTTGTGTATAAAAAATTTCCATAATATCTTCAAAACTAATGGATTTAAGGAATTAAAACCTTTGAGAAAAATATTTACAGAATTTATTTCACATACCTTTTTGAATGTGAAGAGCTACGAGTGCAAAAAGGTCACGATAATTGTAAGGAATAAGGATATTTGAATAGTCTGCAGAAAAACAGCTATAAAATTCCAAGAAACGCTTCCATTGCTTTCATATTTTTAAAAAGTGATTGTTTTTAAATATTTTATTTAATATTAATGGGATTTTGGTTGCAAATTTAAATTGATGGAGTTTTCACTCTTGTAAGTGCAGAACTGCAAGTGCAAAAAGGTCACAATAATTCTAAGGGATATTCTGTAGAAAAAACAGGCATAAAATTTCAAGAGACACTTCAGTGATTATATTTTTTATCAAAAAGTATTTGTTTTAAGATATTTTAGTAAAAATAACAGGCAATGTGGTGGCACATTTGAATTAGTTTATTTTTTCATCCTAGCAAAATTACACTATATCTGGGTAGAAAGCATACTGGACTACTGGAGTGATTACATTTTGAACGTTAAATCATTTCAGGCACATGACCTTCAATCTTCATGACTGAAATTAGCTTATATTTATCCAGAATGTCACAAAGATGCATGATTTGAATATTTGTTTAACCAGAAGTCTTATTCGAGACTGTAGCTCTACTGGTTTGTACGTCTAACAAAGGAAGAGATAAGTAGCAGTTGGACTTGAAACTTTGCAACAGCAATAAATAGAATAATGATCCTTGATTTGGTCTCTTTTCATGGAAATCTGACTAAAACTAAAGGAGGAGTAGATTTTAAAAAAAAATTTACAGAAATTTCTATTTTAGTAAACATGGCAAAACCGCTCATCAAAATCAAAATCCGATAAAAAAAAAATATGTATCTCGGTATACTTTACTTGTGTGCCAAGTAATATTGAAATCAGACCAAAACTATAGGAGGAGTAGCTTTTGTTGACAGACAGACAGACGACCAACACCTTACTATCGCATAAGCTAGGGATGGGTATCGGCAAAAATTTCGTATCGTGAAATATCACGATTTTTTTCCCAAAAATATCACGATAAATCGTGATATTTTTACACGCATATTTTACTACAATTTCAAATGAATTTCCATAATATTTCTTAAAAATATGCTATAAAAACATAACTTTACTTTTTAAATTTTCATTTATTTAATATAAAGCATGTTTTGATGCCGTTGTTTAACTGTTTTCAACATTTTTTACACTTCCTGTTATTGTCATTCAATAGTTTGAACAAATAAATGAATAATTTCCGGAATTTATAGTTATGTACCAAATACAGGTATTTTAGTCTCCGCATCACGATACGTATCACGCATTAAAAAATCGCAATATACCGGTATACCAATAAAATCGCGCATCCCTAGCATAGGCTCTTCTGGTCTCTAGCCAGTAGAGCTAAAAATCATGAGTTTTTGACAAGGCTTAATGTATTATAGCAATGAACTGGCTATACATGTAGCTATGGGGCTCATTTTACAGGATCCCTTAGCATGAAAATGCACATTGCAAAAACTGCAAATACATAAAATTGCAAGTTTAACAGAGAGAGTGTTCAAAAGTATGAACACATCAGTAAATAAAATCCACTTTTTCACAGTGTTGCCCAAATTTCATACAGTTCTTCACTGCAAAAGTTGTTTTTAAACATGCAACACATTTTATACAAATGCTGATTTTGTTTGCCCTAAAATTATACAAATGAATGAACAGAACAAAGTTTATGTCTTTTTTAATACCATAAAGTCATAAAAACGCAACCAGTATTTGAATGAAGTATTTGACAATGCTCAATTAAATTCCTTCAACTGCATTTGAAAAATACCAAATGTATCATGTACATGTTACTTTTACATAGAAAATTTAAAGACAGCAACATTATAAAAAAAAAATTATTAATTAGATGATCTCTAATTTTAAATTGTCCACAAAAAAAAAAAAACAAAAAATAAAAACACATTTGAAGGTACTACACTGAAAGAAAGCAAAATATATGAAACATTAATTAGTGTCTAGGAAAATCAAGGAGTCCCAAAACTGTCATGAAAAAAAAACAAGAGGCCCAGGGGCCACATCGCTCACCTGAGCACTCTGGCTAGGAAAAAGCAGAAATCAGTTCAGTCTTGAAAAGTTTTGATATAAAAGTGGTTCGAGGGGGGGGGGGGGGTTGATTTGAACTTGAATCTATTCTTAAGAAGACAATTTTTATTGATATATCATTTGTATTCCTTTGTATAACTATGATCCCCTGTTATGGCCCCCCATTCTCCCGGGGGGGGGGGGGGGGGGGGGGGGGGGGGGGGGTCATGATTTGAACAAAATTTGAGTCTACATTACCTGAGGATGCTTCCATTTAAATATGACCAATTATGGCTTTGCTGTTCTTGAGAAGAAGGTTTTAAAAGGCTTTTTCCTATGTATTCCTATGTAAAACTTTGATCGCCCATTGTGGCCCCACACTACCTCTGGGGGGAAGGTCATGATTGGAACAAACTTGAATCTACACTACCTGAGGATGCTTCCATATAAGTTTCTTATTTTCAAGCACAGTGGTTCTTGAGAAGATTTTTAAATGATGCCATCAATTTTTCACAAATTCATGATTATCTCCCCTTGGAAGAAGGTGTGGCCCTTCATTTGAACAAACTTGAATTCCCTTTACCCAAGGATACTTTGTGGCAAGTTTGGTTGAAATTGGCCCAATGGTTCTTGAGAAGAAGATGAAAATGTGAAAAGTTTACACGACGACAACGATGACGACAGACAACGGGCAAATTTCGATCAGAAAAGCTCACTTGAGCCTTCAGCCAGGTGAGCTAAAAAAACGTTTCATCCTTTTCCTTTGGAATGCTGTGGACAGCTTGAAGCATCAACTTTGTACCTTGGCATGGTGCAACAGGCCCTATTGCTAAATGTGCTGACATATGTAAAATATTCCTGTACAGTATTGCATAGTCCAATTTCTGAGATACTTGACACTTTAAGAAAGGGTAATCTTCATTTGACAGGATATGCTTTGCATGATTGAACAATTTATGCTGAGATCTTTCATCTTTTGACCAATTTAGGTGCACTGATGATATGAATTCAAAATCTGTAAAAGCAATGACAAATTGATGTTTGAATTAAAGTTTATAATTGATATTGCAATAATCATGATAATCAAAGAAGACATTTTAGTACAATAAATTTTCATTTATACCCAAAAGCAAAAGAGCATGTATTTTGATGTTCTAAATGACATTGGGAATTAGGGAATAATTTCAATTTTACAACAAAGGGACCTTGGCAATGCTAGCCTGAATCACCTTTATTTCCTATTTTGTAAGAGATCCAAATGCCTTAAATGGCTACTTGAGTTTAATGCAAACCTGCAAATGATCCAAATATAAAACAAGCTAATTCAGAGAATTGTGGCCCCCACTTATGGGGAAAAATTGAGGATGGGAGAACTGGACAAAAAAACATGCAGATGGAAAAAGAAAAAGGTCAACCTTAACCTTTCAGCTTTTGGCCTTAAAGTCAATTGGTGTCTTTTTTTTATTAAAGAAATAAATTCAAGACCTCAAAGAGAACCAGAATTATCACCAGGACATAATTTATTGCAAGATATGAATTTTTCAACTTGACCTTTTAACTTAGAAATCAAAGGGGATTTCTTTAAGTCATTGGGAATTATGATATAAAATTTAACAGAAAAAGCTCAAGGGAAACTAAAGTTATTATTTGAATTTTTTTTTGTATTGTAGGAATTTCTAACCTTGACCTTTTGACCTCAAATCAATAGGGATCTTCTCTAGGCTGTAAGGAGTTGTGATATGAAATGATATTGCAAAAGCTCAAAGGCTTCAAGAGATATTGTTCCCAAATTAAAGTGTTATAGTACATACATGTACAGACAGAATGACACACGGACAGACTAAAATTAATATCCCCACTTACAGTACAACAAATAAGGGACAACAAAATAAACTGTTTACATAAAAACACACATACTTGCCTGTACAAGTTATTTATAAATAATTGATAAACATTTATTTGGGGGGGGGGGGGGGGGAGGCTGTTACCTACAGGTATTAGGTCATATGTTTTCTGTTATGTCCATGACTTCTTCCATTTTCCTCCACTCTTTGCTCTGTAAAATAATTGAAAAAGCCATGAAGTATATATACTCTTATACATAACAGTTAATGCTAAAACTGCTAATGGTGAAACATTTTGAATGAATCATAATTAAATAATTTGAAAGCTCAAAACTTGAACTATATGGACTGGACTTTTCAGTTTATCACTCACATATTCAGGCATCTTCACCATTTGGACCTAACTTCACATAAATTGTTCTTTGTTATTTTACTTATCAGTAATGTGAATGAGCAGTTACATGTATATTATCATGATTATAGTAACTTGTATGTATACATTATAAAATGTTAACCACATGTACAAACTCTGGTTCATGTCATTGAACTTCATGATAACAATGTCCACTTAGTTATATTTTTCAGTGTGGAAATGAAACATATTTGTTAATTTTATTTTTTGAGATATTAAACATTGACATTATCTATATTATTATGTAGTACCTTAAAAATATTATATTACAGTAAGTGATCACCTGTTTGGTTTGATTCAATTGTTGCCTTGTCAATAGGAACACATTTCTGCTAAAGAATAAACATTAATTTTAATATTAACTATACAATACTTAATAATCCTCATAGTTACATGAATACTTATAACCAGTTATGTACACATAAAATAAAACAGAAATCATACTTGAGATTTTATTTTTAGAACTAATTCAAAATAATATGCAATTGAAATTTTATTTCCAAACAGGATTGGATCATTTACATGTGAAATCTATCAATATTATGAAACTATTGAGTGTAAAAACCATTCATCAACATTTACTGTAGAATCCTTAATTTATGTGAGTACTAAATATACTCGAATGAGAACAAGAATTAACAAGTGGACTGCTGCTCAAGAGTTTTCACTTTTTACATGTATTTCAGCTATAAAATAATAAAAGCAGGTAATTTTGCTTCATAAGTGAAACTTGATGTATAAGCTACTGAGTGAATTTCAGAAATAATTTGATAAAACTTTTACATATACATGTAATTATAAACACATAGTATATGTATATGTACCTTTAAGCTCTTCCTTCAGCTTTACTTCCATACTGATTTTTTAGTGTGTGTTTCTATACATCTTTTGCATATACCTGTAACAATTTAAGAATCAAATTAGTTGATAAATATAAATCATTATTATAAATCATTATAATAGATTGGACATGTAAGTTGTATAAACTTGATATCAATAGGTTTTCACAAACTATAAAGACAAAGTCAGTAAATATTTCCAATTATGATATCACTTTGTGATATTATATTTACATGTATAGGGTTGTCCTTAAGACCTGTGGGACTGGGGAATTTCTTCACCTGTAATGACATAATTCCCCAAATACTCTGGTATTGCCCTCTCAACCCTCACTAAGGGGAGGAACCCCCAACATGCTTTAATTTTTTTTTTAAAAATCTGTTTCATTTCTTATGGACAACCCAAATACCATGTACAGTGTCTCTCTGAAAACTTTAAGGTCAGAAATTAAGTTAATTTCAATGGTTTAGCAAAATTCCTTAAGTTTTTAATTCCTTGAGGGACACACAAAAACTGCATAATGTTCTTACCAGTTCCAACAGGCAAAACCTCATTCAGCTTGACCCTCTCGGTTAACGGGTTTGCATAATAGCGTCTCCCCTATCAGGTATGGGTGACAACATGTTCTTTTTTTCCTTTTCCAGTGTAGACCAAGTATATTTCTGTGTTTGACACATACATGTACATGTAGGTATGTTTACAGAAAATAGACTGTCCAAGTCCCATAACAGCTGCATGGTTCAAGATGGTTAACGATAAGAAGCGTTTCAGGGACAGAAATGTCTTCTGTGCTGCATTTAAAATACCTTGTATTTTCAGCTGAATCTATTTTACAATCTTTCAACAAAGCTAGAGATCTTTTATCATAATATTGTCGTCAAATCAACACTTCATCTTTTCGTCTGCCATTAAGACACCATACTTTTAATTCCTTTAAATAAGGAGAGTTCCACTAAGGGAGATAATTTTTCTAATAGTTTCAGCCAACTTCAATCTATTTTTAAATTAGCATAATGCCATTTGCAACCAAATTCCTTTTAACTATATATTGATTTTGAAGGATTTTTGCAATTAAACTGATATGTATAATGTTTTAAGCGTTTCTTGGGTTTTTACAGCATTATAAAGATAGTGGTATTTTAAACACATTGATTTAATCTAATTTTAGACCCCACTTTTACAGAATCAGTGTTGATAATTGAAATTAAATAAAATATTTCTAGTTAGAGCACTTCCTTTAAATTTATTTAATATGTAACATTTGAATAAAAGTGCATTTTTTCCTGCAATTTTTTTCTCTTAATCTCTGGGTGTTTTTCAAAATATTTTCATAAAATGTGCTAAAAATAGAATATAGGGCTATAATAGGGATCCCCAAAGGTACCTGACAGTTTTGATACCGTGATTTATTAGAGGACACATGATGCTAATCAGAAACAATAAAATCAGTCAAAATGATCACAATGCCTTTCATAATAAAATTTGGATTTTGCATGGTTTTCTCGTAGACACGCATTTAAAATGATGTAGCGATGCTGCTCCAGGTAAATAGACATATGCATGTTTATAATTTCATCGAAACTTATTTAATTATCCTATCAAATAGAACTTTTGCACATTTGCTTTAGTTGTTCTTTATAAAATATTGACGAATTTTCACGAATTTATCTCTGTCCTTTGTGGAGTAAAAGGAAATGTCTCAATAATTTCCGAACAGCCCTCGTATATGTACTATTAGTAAGTACTTTGCAAATAATTTTAAGATTAGACTCAATAGATTGTGTGTTTTTTTTGACAGGGTTACTTGGTAAATTGGGACATAGAAAGACAAGTATGGGACTACCTCTTTGGCAAAGATGTGATGAAGGTAATTTGATATAAAACATGATAAATGTGCTAATTAATGGCATTTTAATTGGTACTTTTGTACACATCTTATGTTACAGTATACTTACAAAACAATTCAATTTTCAGGTGGATTTCAATGAAACAAACATCATTGTTACAGAACCTTATTTCAACTTCAATTCTGTACAAGAGGCCATGAATGAAATCTTTTTTGAAGAATATGCCTTTAAGTCTGTATTAAAAACTAACCGTAAGTTTTTTTTCCATAATAAAAAAAAAGCAAAACTTTCACAAAGCACAAATAGAAAGAAATAATGTGGGTTAGTTTTACAGATTAAGATTTGACTGAAACTGAACAATTTTTATTTTTACATTTTTTTTCTGGAAAATATAAATTTTGGCATCAAAACCTCAAAGCCTTTTTCTCATTCTCTAAATATATTCAGAGTTTTCTGTCATTTATTACATTAAAGCCTTTAGGCAGATATGAAATATTGAAAAAAAATGTATCAAAGTATAGCTTTGAATTCCTCCTAGCCGTACTTAACTATAAGTCCTGTTTTTCCAGCCTCCTTCCTGAGTCAGTATAAGTACTCTAAGGAGACTAATGCCCCGCCTCTATGTAATATAGTACTGGACACAGGCTATTCTTTCTCTCACATTGTCCCATACTTCAAGGGCAAGAAAATCACTGGAGCAGTCAAGAGGTATATCAGTACAATCTATAGTACATGTGTTTTTCCTTTGAAAAATAAATATGCAATATGAATTGAATTACTGAAATCACTTTTTATTCACGAAAAGTTTATTTTCACGTAATTACGTCAGACTAACTGCTCATGGAAATTTCATTCTTGCATATATTTTTTATTTTTAATCAATATATAAAACAATAACAAACATTCATGAAAAATTTGTCTTGCATATAAATCATAACTTTCTCATGAAAATAAGCCTTAAAGGTGTCACAAAAATTTGGTGATCTACAGTATAAAGATCAAAAAAAAATTATACTACATTTCACTTTTCAGAGTAAATGTTGGTGGAAAATTACTAACTAATCATCTGAAAGAAGTAATATCATACAGGTATGTATTTCAAAGAAAAGATCTACAAGATTACCCAATTACCAAAAGAATGGATGTAATTTTGATAAAAGACCACAATGCAGTTATTTCTGAAATGAAATGCAGTGATTGCCCTTTGCACTGCAACAGGTATTTGTAAATAGGTTTTTATCTTGTAAGAGCTCAGGCACTGTGGGTATAAGCAAAAATAGTTTTCATGACTGTAGCAAAACCTATTTTAGGTAAGATTTCAGTGAGACTTCCATGAAAATAGTTGAAAATTTAAAGACATAAAATGCATTTACCCCTTCAAAGCAGTGTGTGAAACTCATTATAAAACTAACTAGACATGCAGGGCTGACTGCTAGAAAAAGTTGTCAGCCCTGCCAAAGATCTATTAGCCTGAGAAAATAATAGTCTTATATAAATTTGTTTTTAGCGATAATATGATTTGGACCAGGTCACCATAACTTTGATCCTGAATCTATAGACCGACAAATTCTACCCTTTTGCTTGTTGCACTTTGCAACCAATACTGTTAGTTGATTTGATGGGCATTTATCAAATACAGTCAAACCTCGTCATCTTGAGCTCATTGGGACTGAGAAAAAAACTGAGAGACATTCGAGGATTCGCGATATCCAAGGTCAAGTACTTGAAGAGTAAGGGGTGGGACTTCCAAACCAAATCACTTTGACATATCCATGGTGTTCATGATATTGGTGCTTGAGATACCGAAGTTCAAGTGTTTATGAATTTTAATTATGGGAAGTTTTAACACGTCCAGCTGGGTGTCAATACATGTAAATTTGTTCGCCCGCTGCAAAATCTGTGCATCGTGTTTGGTCAGGTACATGGTTATTTCGAATAGTGCTTCAAAATGTATCTTTTCAAAACATCAGTGTCACTTTTTATATTGAAAATATCAGGCTCTACAAATGTAGGATACAGTATACAATATGAATATTTAAAAAGATTCTTTTCAAAGAAAGTCTGGTACCAACAACTTGAAAGGACTGTATGATGTGATGCAATATCCAGTGAACAAACTCTTAAGTTATCGAAGTGTTTTGTAATCATGTAAAATACTTTTGAAGAACTTTTCAGAATTTTTTTTTAAAATACTCTGTATCATTTGTAGACAGTTGATGGTAATGGATGAAACATATGTGATAAATCAAGTGAAAGAAGATGTTTGTTATGTTTCTACACAGTTCATGAAAGATATGGAAATTGCCAAGTAAGTCATATTGTAGGGGTGCATTGTCAAATTGATAATGTGGTCAGTGTAAAATTGAACTTTAAGTGCCTATCTTACTTGTAAGTGGTTAAAGAATTTACTTATTTTGAACATCAGAATCACCCTGCAGGTAGGAATAGCAAGCCTAATGCTCTCATACTGATCTACTATAGCTTTGGCAGTGTCAAGGGGAATGACTTTAGATTTTTGCAGATAAAATTAGTAACTCCAAAGGTATCTTGCTAAAGCTTAGATTATTATTTAAAATAAAAAATTATGTGATAGATTATAGGGTCTCCCATGGTTTATGGTTGAATATTATTTTTATCCAACAAGTGTGCTTTTTAGCTCACCTGAGCTGAAAGCTCAAGTGAGCTTTTCTGATCACATTTTGTCCGGCGTCCGTCTGTCTGTCCATCTGTCTGTAAACTTTTCACATTTTCGACTTCTTCTCAAGAACCACTGGGCCAATTTCAACCAAACTTGCCACAAAGTATCCTTGGGTAAAGGGGATTCAAGTTTGTTCAAATGAAGGGCCACGCCCTCTTTCAAGGGGAGATAATTAGGAATTACTGAAAAATTAATAGAATCATTTAAAAATCTTCTTCTCAAGAACCATAGGGCCAGGGAAGATGAAACTCACTTGGAAGCATCTTCAGGTAGTGTAGATTCAAGTTTGTTCAAATCATGACCCCCGGGGGTAGGGCGGGGCCACAATGGAGGATCAAAGTTTTACGTAGAAATATATAGGAAAAATCTTTAAAAATCTTCTTCTCAAGAACAGCAAAGCCATGATGAGTCAAATTCATGTGGAAGCATCCTCAGGTAGTGTAGATTCAAGTTTGTTCAAACCATGACCCCTGGGGGTAGGGCGGTGCCGCAATGGAGGATCAAAGTTTTACATAGAAATATATAGGAAAAATCTTTAAAAATCTTCTTCTCAAGAACAGCAAAGCCATGATCAGTCATATTTATAGGGAAGTATCCTCAGGTAGTGTAGATTCAAGTTTGTTAAAACCATGACCCCCGGGGGTAGGGCGGGGCCACAATGGAGGATCAAAGTTTTACATAGAAATATATAGGAAAAATCTTTAAAAATCTTCTCAAGAACAGCAAAGCCATGATGAGTCATATTTATATGGAAGCATCCTCAGGTAGTGTAGATTCAAGTTTGTTCAAACCATGACCCCAGGGGGTAGGGCGGGGCCGCAATTGAGGATCAAAGTTTTACATAGAAATATATAGGAAAAATCTTTAAAAATCTTCTACTCAAGAACAGCAAAGCCATGATGAGTCATATTTATAGGGAAGTATCCTCAGGTAGTGTAGATTCAAGTTTGTTAAAACCATGACCCCCGGGGGTAGGGTGGGGCCACAATGGAAGATCAAAGTTTTACATAGAAATATATAGGAAAAATCTTTAGAAATCTTCTTCTCAAGAACAGCAAAGCCATGATGAGTCATATTTACATGGAAGCATCCTCAGGTAGTGTAGATTCAAGTTTGTTCAAACCATGACCCCCGAGGGTAGGGCGGGGCCGCAATGGAGGATCAAAGTTTTACATAGAAATATAAAGGAAAATATCTCCTTCTGAAGAACTGCAAACCATTATTAGTCATTTTGATATGGAAGCATCCTCAGGTAGTGTAGATTCTATTTTGTTCAAATGATGACCCGCAGGGGTAGGGTGGGGCCCAATGGGGGATGGAAAGTTTTACATAAGAACATATAGAAGAAATATTTCTTCTCAAGAACAGTAAAGCTATGTTTAGTCATATTGATATGGAAGCATCTTCAGGTAGTGTAGATTCAAGTTTGTTCAAATGATGACTCCTGGGATAGGGAGGAGCCACAATGGGGGATCAAATTTTTACAAAGGAATATATGGGAAATTTTTTAAAATCTTCTTAAGTTCAACAAAGCCATTTGTTACATTGACATGGAAGCATCATCAGGTAGTTTAAAATTCAAGCCCCCCCCCCCCCCCCTCCCGGTCTTTTCAGTACTGAACTGATTTGTGCTTTTGCCTAGCCAATGTGCTCAGGTGAGCGATGTGGCCCATGGGCCTCTTGTTTTCTATCCCTGAGCCTTGGTGAAGGGATTGAAAACACACAATGAGTTGGATAAAAACATTTCCAACCACACAAAGTATGGGAGATTCTTTATCATGTTTTACCAATAGCTATCACATGTTTCACACTGTTTTTATAATACTTGTACATGTATGAATCCACTTGATTTGACTTAGTTATCACTTTCACACAAACTGTTGGTATGAAAACCATGTCATATGATAGATATCTACCATATAAAGGAGTAAACATGTGATTAACATGTATTTTTGAAAGCTGAATTATTATCCAACAGAAAGAGAGGTAAAGAAAACACAATAGCCAGAGACTATGTCCTGCCAGATTATACACACATCAAGAGGGGGTATGTCCGACCCCAGGAGGAGACTACAGGGAAGGCCAAAGATGGAGAGCAGGTGTGTAAAAAAAAAAAGGAAATAGATGTAATGATATCAAGATAAAGGTGAATATACTGTAAATCATTTTCGTTCGCAAGAACTTTATTTTCAGGTAATTATGCGAGACCGTCTCTTAAGAAAAGAAGATGGGTGAGCAAGGCGGGCAAAGTGCCTATAGTGCGGCAAACATGAAGTGAAAAATAAAATCTCAATTATATCCAAATTTTCTCTGATATTTCATCTAACATTAAAATATACTTTATGTAAAATCTCTACAATTTACAAAAATCTCACAAAGACTTAAATTATTTGCCTACGAAATAGCATACACACACTAAAGAAGGCAAAAATGATCAATTTCTCATACTTTAACAAAATTTTTTGATATGAGTGGGTCTTTGCTCCATTTTATTGAAAGTTAATCCTAAAAGTTTGCATAAAAATATACATTTTTTGGTTAACAAAAACATGGAGCAAAGACCCACTATACCTTAAAAGTACACTTTTAAGACAAAACATTTGTATCTTTCGGAGAAATACTTGAAGTCCGTCAAGTCAAGGGTCATATCACAAATATGATTTAAATGCCACTATTCATCAAGAGCTGTGTTACGTAGTGGTTAGCGTGTTTGTCTCAA